GTCTTTTCTTTGAACTAACTGTGTCTTCTAGATGACTAGAAAAGGAAAACACATTGGTGGGGACTTGTGAACTACAGTTTTCAGAGGTATGGACACACAAAGTATTCTGAACCTGGATGACTCACCCAGAGACTTGAGGGGGTGCCAGCAGGCACGAAGCATCAGGAAGATCAATCTAACAGTGGTGTGAAGACCAAGGAGAGCAGAGAAGATTGTGATGAGGCTATTCAGGAGACCACTCTCCATCCCTGCCACACGCAGTGAGAGGCAGGGCTGGCATCTGAGCCCAAGGGCTCAAAGTTCAAGTGAGGCTACCTTTTCCCCTGCACTGCCTCTCCACTGCAGCTACAGAAGATAAAGAAGGCTTGGCTGCAGGTGTTAGTGGGAGGAACGAAGCAGAGGAGAGGACTGGGAGAGGCTGAAGTCTGCATGAGCAAGACCCTTAACCAAGCCACAATCCTGGTGGATTGCCAGGTACCCTGTGCTTCCCTGGTCCCTGAGGGTAACAACGTGGGGAACAGATGTTTGCTGAGGCCTCCAACCTCCCCCTCCCTCCCCACAGGGCCAAAGACAGGACTTTGAGATATTGGAAAACCTCACCCTTCACATCCCACTGGAACAAACCCTCCCACTTTGTGTTACTCACAATTTTGAGTCCAATTTCAGGAGAAAACCCAATCGATCATACTCTGAAAAACAAAGCAGAGAAAAAAAGTGTCACAAAAGCTTGAGACTGCAAAGCAGCCCCCAGTCCAAAGGGCAGGGGGGTCTGGTCAGTCCAGCCCACCATCCCAGAGCTTGGCTTAGAAGAACCACCATGAGAGAGTAGGCCCATCACCTCACCAAGCACCCAGGGTGTCACCAAGCACCAGCCTAACTAGGTGAAGTGAAGTGCAGTAAGTCACATCGTTGTAATTCACAAGCACAGGGTAGTCAGATGGTGATTTGTCTGAACAAGATCTAAGGGTATGAGTGGACCAAAGCTCAATGTGAGTCAGCCAGAAAACATCCCCTTGGGCAGATCTTCTAGGTATAGGGAGGTGATGATCCCCCTGTCCTCTGGCCCTGGTAGGCCTGAGCCAATGTCTCATGCACATTTTAAGAAGAGCATTGACCAGATGGAGATCGTGCAGAGGGGGGAAACCAGGCCAGTGAAGGGATGGAGATCAGTGGAAGGAACTGGGCATGCTGAACCTGGAGAAGGCTCTACCCCCACCTCCACGGGGGACAGGAGAGCTGTATTCAATGGAAGAGGGAATCAGCATTGTTCTACCTGATTCCCAAGGACAGGAGGAGTGGGGGTGGCGCTGCAAAGAGGCAGATTTAGGCTGGATTGTCAGGAAAAGTTTCCTACCAAGTAGGGTTGTCCCAGAGGAGAAGAGGCTGCCTCAGGAATGGTAGGCTCCCTCTCACTGGGGGTCTTTGAGCAAAGGCTGATCACCCACTTGGTACAGTGATGTCTCTCCACTGTCCATGGACAACAAACCCACTTCCTCTCCCTTTGTTCCCCGGTATTGCCCAAATTCCCATGATCCTTAGCTTCTCTTGCTGCCACTTGACTATGTCCTATTTCTCAGGGCTCCCAGCCTCCTTTGGGCAAGCTGGCTGGTATGTGCCTCACTGTCTGCCTTCTGTCTCCCTCATGACTGTGACCATCATAAAGGCACGAGTTGTTTTTTGCTTTACTTTGTGACTTGCCCAGAGTTTAGCACACAGAAAGCTTGGAATCCATGCCTGTCAATTAATCAGGGGTGTGCTGGAGTCAGACTGAAGGAGCTGATTGTTAAATGTTCAGTTCGAACATTGACATATCAGAAATCAGCAAACCTACAGACTAGGACCTGATTGTTTAGTTATCTGTCTTTACTTAAAGTGATGGAGAAAATGGTAATACTGCAGATTAAACTCAGAAGTATCTTTTTTTTTTAAATCAGGTTGTTAAATATTTAGCAGCACCCCTCCCTCATAAGGGTTCATCAAAAATAATCCTTGTAGGAAAGTCACTTCCCCCCTCCCCAAACCCAAAGGATTCCAGGGAGCCTTGGCCATCCTCTCTGCCTGCCTGCCAGCCTCCCTGGGTGCCAGGAGCTCTTTCTGGCCCTCCATCTGGGGAGGTTATTTTCCTCCATTTACCTTTCCTCTTCAGTACTTGCAGCCTGGAGATTGTCTCCTAGTGGAGGCAGCCAAGGCCGAGAGGGGCCGGCTTCTCTTGCTTGTGAGGACCAAGTTCCCACGGGTAGAAATCTCTGGCTCCCACACAAGTGTTCCTGCAGACTGTCACTTTTCAGCAGCTTCAGTGTGGCCTCTCCTTCCCTCACCTCCCATCCCCATCCTGCCTCGCTGATATTACACAGAAGCTGGAGCTGCCAAGACCTCGTGTCTGGAAGCCTCTCCTTCTTCCCCTCCACCCCTGAGAGCTGGAGAGACCAGCATCACAGGAAAGGACCACAGAGTTCAGCAAGTCTAATGGCCTCATTTTACAAAGAAGTAAACTGAGGCCTAGGTCACACAGATCTGACCCCAGCTTTGCCACAGATTCCCAGGGCAGTAAGGCAAGGGGGCTGGAAAACAGAATTACTTGGGTCCCGCTTCCAGCCTCTGTCACAGGGGTCTCCAAGAAAAGAAGACTGCATGTAGCCAACTCTTAGGAAGCAGCCGCTTGTGCTAAATGGAAAAAGGATGCCCCTTTTCATGACCCTGGAGAACGACACAGAACTTTGATCTATTGCTTGGGAGGTGCCCGGAGGGGCCTGGAGGAGGAAGGCTGGGCTCTGCCAGCTCTAGGCTGGGCCAATGCTGAGCTCAGACTATGATGGAGGGTCTGGGAAAGAAGCTCCACTTCGCCTCGGGGCTCGTCTAGAGGCAGGGTTACTCAAGAGGCCAGTCTGAGAGCCAGGAAGACGCAGGGAAGGCCCTGCTCTGTCATCTGCTGTGTGACTGGGGAGGATGGATCAGACAAGACCCCTCATCCACCCCCATCCTCAATTGAGGGTCATGTGACCAAACCTTTCTCCATGTCCTTGATGGCCAAGCATAGGTATGCGGTTCCCAAAGGGGCTGATGGATGGGTCACCCAGAGCCCCTCCTGCTCTCCATGCCTTCCTCTTCCTCATCCTCCCCTGTGGAGCTCCCAAATACCCACCGTCTACAGGCCTTCACAGGCTCTTTATCCATCTCCCCCAACTGAAATTGCCTCAGAAGTCACTCATGACTTAGTGGTATTTCTTATGTGCTCTCCCTCTGGTCCCCAGGGATCCCTCAGTACCCACCGCCCTCTCAAGACTTCATCTCCCACAACAAGCTGGACAGGAACCCAAGGAGAAGCCAGGTTGGTGAGGCCAGGAAAAACTTCCCTGGTATTGGCCAACAAGGGGTTCCAAGCTCCCAAAAGAGGAAGCTAAAGGCGTGGGGGGCGGGGACGACAACAAAGGGTATCACTGATGCCAGAGAGGAGGCTCCCATGAAGAACAGCTGGTAGTACTCACTCATGGAGTGAGGGGGGGGGAGGGGGAGTTATCTCTGAGAGACCAGGCATACAGTGACCTGGGGCAAATTACTTAACTGCTCCAAGTCTCAGTTTCAGCATCTATAAAGTGGGAATGAAATCACTCAAACTAATTTCCAGCTGCCATAAGAAGAGCCCTTGTTATGTCTTAAACCATAATCAGCCCTGTGAGTGGCATTTCCTGGCCAAGGGCAGCTCCCAGGATTGGGAAGGCTTAGGCTGGAAGGAAGAAGCAGGATCCCTCTGCCTGGTGTCACTCCCCCCTAGTCCCCCAGGGCAGCTCTGGGAGGGGGAGGGCACAGCTCAGATAAATTAGGGTCAGTGTGAAGAGTTGAACCACTGGGGATGGACATCAATACGGGAATCGATCAGGGATGGAACGGAAAGCAGTGCCACGAATTGGAAATGGCTAACCAACTCCACCCCAAGAGTGAAAACAATGGGCAAACGCCCCCAGGAGGGAGGGGGAGGGCTCTAGGGTCATGCCAGAGAGTTCCGCGACGTCCAACATCCATACCAGTGACTTCAATAAAGACGCTCATGGCAGGCAGATCCATCCTTCGAAGCAGAATGCCAGCTCTCTGAGGACAGGAACGTCTCCGAGATCGAGCTTGGTGCCTGGCCAACAGCCACTCCCACAGAGGCCTCCTGAGGGCGGCCTCAGGCCTGGGCTCGGCCACCCTTCCCGTGTGTAGAGCACGTGGGTGAGCGTGTGTCATCCCTGGCCACCCCCAGCTGACTCCAGCCCTGCAGCCAGCTTCCCAGGACCCTCACTGCTCCTGTGCCTCCAGGGGGCTGTCTGTTCCTCCACAGCCTCTCCCTCTCAGCTCGAGGCCCTCCCATCACTGACAGACCCCCCGGAGGGCGAAAATCAGGAGCAGACCATGCGCTGGGAGGTACCTGAGGCAACTCCTTTGAAAGAGCACCTGCTGAGTGCTGGCACCATGGCAAGTGCTGGGGACACAGAGGAAGAATGAGGGAGCCCCTGCCCTCGAGGAACGTACAATGAGGCAGGGGGTGGAGCAACGCCCCTGCATCCCAGACTGGGAGGGGGAGGGGACAACACCCCTGCATCCCAGACTGAGAAGGGGAAGGGGAAAACGCCCCTGCATCCCAGACTTAAAGGGGGAGGGGACAAAGCCCCTGCATCCCAGGTTGAGAGGGGGAGGGGTCGATGCCCCTTCACTGCAGATTTAGAGCTAGAAGGACCATTTGAGGTCCCAAATCACAAAGCTGGTAAATGAAGGAGGTAGGATTTCAACCCAGCACTTCTTCCACCACACCACAGCCCCCATGTACAGCATCCATAGATAAATAAAAACAAAGCACTTACACAGTAATTTCAAGAGCTCTTTGAACAATGTCAGGAGTAGGGAGAGGGATCTCAAAGGGTCTCATGGAGGATGTGGCAGGTGGGCTGGGCTGCTTTTTTTTTCTTTGTGAGGCATCAGGGTTAAGTGACTTGCCAGGGTCACACAGCTAGTGAGTATCATGTGTCTGAGGCTGGATTTAAACTCAGGTCCTCCTGACTCCACGGCCGGTGTGCTATCCGCTGCACCACTTACCTGCCCCTGAGCTGGGCTTTTGAAGGGAACTCCGGATTCTGGGAGCAGGGAGGGCAGGAGATGGGACCGTGTGCCCATGGAAGAGAGCATGCCAAGAAGAGCAGTACGAGATCAGACTGGAAAGGGAGGCAGAAGGGCCTTGGAGGCCCAATTAAGCATTTTGACCTCAGAAGGTTTCTGAGCAGGAATGTCGGGATCAGATCTGAGCTTTCAGAACATCGATTTCACACTGTCAAGAGGATGGAGGACAGCTGCACCAGTCCAGGAGAGAAGGGATGAGGCAAGAGGTATTACAAAGGATGATGAACAGCTGATGAGCCATAGGAATGAGAGAGAATGAGGGTGCTGACCAGGGACCATGCAGCGATGGTACCAGCCTTGGGAGTGAGGGCAAAGAAGTTCAGAGTTCTCTTCAGGATAGGCTGCCTTTGCGATAACCATGGAGTGGTCAGTGCAAGGAATAAGCATTGACAAGGCACCTACTGTGTGCCAGGTACTGTGCTACCCACTCTCATTCGAGCCTCACAACTCGGATGGCTGGTGACATGGGACTGGTGCTCAGGAGATGATTCAGGGCTGATCTATGGAGCGTGGAGATGACGGCTGAGGCCACGGGGGAGACATCCCAGGGCAGAGGAGAGGAGAGGGCTCAGGACCGAGGCCTGGGGAAAGCTCCCACTTAGTGGTCAGGAGAAGGGTGAGGACGAGGGGCAGTTAGGCAGGGAGATGTGGGAGACAGCGGTGGCCCAGAGCAAGAGGAGGAAGGCATGCTGAGGATGGGGGAACAGGAAGAGACTGAAGATAGACCAGGCCATCTGACCAGGCAGGGAGGAGATGCTGGAGAGCTCTGGGCCAGAAGAGGTCAGACTACCCAGGGGGAGCCAGGAGGAGGGCAAAGACCAAGCAGACACAGTGAAGAGAGACATTCTTTCAAGGATGTGCCTGTGCAAAGAAAGCCAGAGGCAAGCTGGGCGTCTGGAGCCCTCTGCCACTGACCTCTGCCACACACCAGCACTCCTGCAAGCCCAGGAGCCAGCCCCAAGCCCCTGATGGGCAGCCCAGCTGCAGGGAGCCTCCCAGGCCTACAGCCAAGGCCATCCCAGCCAAGCACAACAAACTCTGCAGGAGCCCCCCCCCCCCCAGCAGGCCCCTGGTGAGGAAGCCAAAGCCGTCCGGCTGGTGGGCAGTGAAGGAGAACTGTTTAGTCTTTGGCTGCAGATCCTGGGGACCACCCAGCGGGAAGGACCTGGCTTGGTGCAGGCAGGCAGAGGGGGTAGAGACTAGCCATGCCAGCCTCATTACCTCTGGCCTTCCTTCAGTCCAGCACCAGGGTGCCCCAGGATTGTCAGGCCAGGCCAGAACCTCATGGCTGGACAGCAGCTCCCTGAGGAGACATAACAGGCAGACTTCAGCCAGCAGGCTCAGGGAGAGGGTCAGGGCCTCAGGGAAGGACTGCATGCCTCCCTTCCCAGGCTGGCGGCCTGGTATAGAGAGACCACTCACCCCTAGGCTCTCACTGACAATGGATTAACAATTGCACGACCATTCTGCTGTGCAGACCAGGATGTGAGAGGAGTCCACTACCTCCTGAGGAGGCTTCTTCCACTCTGGGACGGCTCTCACTGTTGGGAAGTCCTTCCTGATCAGAACCTCAGCTGGTCTTTCTGCAGTTTCCTTGACCTCCTGGCTTTGCCTCTTCAGGGCTAAGCAGAAGAAAGCCAATCCTTCTTCCTCCAATAGCCCCTCAAATACTTGGACACACTGAGAGTAGGACCCCCTGAGCTTTCCCTTCTGGAGGCCAAATAACCTCAGGTTTTTGGGTCTCAGCACCATTCCCCAGCCCGGCCTCCCTCCTCTGGTTGCTGTCCAGCTTGTCAATCTCCCAGAACACATACAAGGGGTCACACATATATCTGGTGTGCCAGAGTCTGTGGAGTGGGCCTCGGGCCTGCATCTCATTTGAGTCCAAACACCCCCTCCCCAAGAGGCGGGCACTACAAAAACCACCATCAGCATTTAACAGATGAGGAAACCAATACTCATGGAGGGGAGAAACAAAACTGAGAGACATCAGAGGAAGGATTAGAATCCTCAATAGGAGCTTTGCTTTAAAGATTTCTCCCTAGATCTACTCTGGGCTGGGGGTGGGGGGGGGGGGGTGGGGAGATGAGACAGAGAGTGTGGGAAAAGCCCAACTCCCCTCTTTGCACTCAGGCCCCTCCCAGGATCACTTGAGCTCCAGGTGAGTTCAGAGTTGAGCCTCCTTCCCAGAATCTTAGGGACGCCTAGCCCCCAGGGCCACCCTACCCTCCTTTCATTTGGTGGCTGTATATGGAGGGGTGAATGGTGGCATGGTGGACGCCCCCCTTCTGAAGAGGAGTCCAGAACAAATACAATGGAATACAAAAGCCATGTTGTGGAGGGGAGACCCCGAGAGGAGGGAGTGTCTTTGATTAGAGCGCCAGGGATGTCAAAGAACACAAGAGAAAAGACCCCACCACTGAGAGCCCTCCACACTAGCTGCCCAGGCCCCTGGGCTCCCAAGAGCCAGCTCAGCCACAGGCTGGGGCAGGGGGTCAGTGAAGGCCCAAGAAGAGGCTGGCAAAATGTCAAGCCTCTCCCACCTGTTCTCCAGGCTTGGAGGTAAATGACAAAGTTTGACCAATTAATCACAGGGAAACTATCACAGGAGGGGAGAAAGCAATTTGACAAACTAGATGTGAAAATTCCCTGACCTTGACAAATAAGTGAACCCAGCGACTGAACCCGGACAGTCCCAGAGTAATGAGCAATTGTACCAGTAAGGCCTGGTGTCCTAGGAGTATGTTCATGCTGGCTCTTCTGCAGTACCCCTGCCCAGCCCCGCTGAGCAAACTCAATGCCGGGGAGCCCTCTGGGCTGCTCACTGGAGGCAGAGGCCAACCTCCTGCTCCCCAGGCAGGCATCATGACATCCTCTACCTGTCTCAACACTATGCCTCACACCTTCCCTGAACACCTGCCACATGTCTGGCCACACCGTGGGGAGGGGGACAGTGGAGGGGACTGGGCCTCCTGGGAGGTGGCCTTCAGAGAGCAGCACTTATCAGCCCTGCACAACCAGAGATGGATCTTACAAAGTGACCCCCTCAGGGCACTGTCAGTCAGAGCTAGGGGGCAGGGGAGGGAGGGAAGCAGCACAGTCAGGGCTCAAAGAAACCAAAAGGTCCCCCTTGGGGCCACACCTACTGGACTGGGCTGGGCCCCGGGCAGCCCGGGCATCGATCATCTCTTTCTGGGTTCTGGATTGTCCTGAGTCCACAGCAAGGCCTGAGGGCAGCAGAGACAGAAAGTCAAAGGCCACATTGTTCTTCTTTCTCCTTCCTGTTTGACAATGAAAGCTTTCCCTCAGTGGGGAAGGTCCAGCATCTTATTCCATGCTGGGAGACCCGAAAGACGGGCCTTTTAGCATCCTCCTGGGATCCGTGAAGGTGCCTCCAGGAACCCCAGGAGGCATGAGATGGGTGATCTCTTGCACCAATGCCACTGGCAGCAGCCTCTAACGTGGAGGAGGCCAGCTGGGTTGGGCACCACATGGGACCCCAAAGAGCCTCCCTTCAGTGGGGGCTACCCAGGAGAAGCCCCAGGGCAGCTACCCCCAGCCCCTCCCACTGCGGCAGAGTGCTAGACTCCCAGGAGCATCAGCAGACCCTGTTCATTTGCATCCTGACGTAGGCTCAGCATGAACAGATACCTGTCATGATGTTCCTGGACATCATGCAAGGCTTCTGTGGGCCAGGGGTCAAGCCATCTCCAACCTTGCCCAAAGGAGATTGCAAAGTACAGAGAATGCCAAGGTGTCCAAGTTCTGCAGAAAAGGCATCTGGCCCCTCCACTAACAGACCCCACAACCAACTCACTTCAAAGTTTCTCCCTCTGATTGAGACCTGGGTGCTATCTCTTCTCTGGGAAGCAGCCCAGAACCAGGAAGGATCTCAGCTCCACCCTCAGTGAGGGCCCATTCCCACCTCCCCTCCCGCCCTGCCTCTGGCCAAGACTGGTGAGGCATGAGCACTGGCTGTGGTTGTAGTGGCGGTGGCAGTTAGGGCAGCAAGCAGAAGGCAGCGTGGGGTGCAAGGAGCAGTTAGGAAGCCAGAGGCCTGAGGAGATAAGCATGGCAGTTAGACGAGGCCACCGGCCCAACAAAGGCACCATGTTGGAAGGCAGCAAACTCACTATTAACTCTGGGGGCAAAGGAGACGTAACACCTAACCTTCTCCAAGTCAATCAGGGACCACCTTACATTTCTGAGAGAAGGGTAAGTGAGCCACACTCCCCTCAATGAGGGCTAAAGGACTGGCCAGAGCCAGACAATTCTAGTGACAGCCCAGGTCTCTAAGAAACTGATGTCTGTCAGAAGAAAACCAATGAAACCACCAGGAAACAATTCTATGTGCCCAGCCCCCTTTGGTGTCCTGGAAGGGTGTCTAGGCCTAAAAGTAGTAGGGCCCTACAAACCAAAGAGGCTCAAGGACCTCCCCCTACCCACTCCCGGGTGTTGCCCTAACAACAAGGGACACTGGACAGGCAAGGGGCAACCCTAAAAGGGCCAGAGGCGAGGCTAGGCTAGCCAGAAAGGGCTCACTCTCTGCCCCGACATTGCCCTCTCTGGCCTATGTCCTTTCTGAGCCTAAGGAAAGGAGCTCAGTGACATATTCAGTTACGACTACAGGAGACATTCTGGTAACCCATTACACCAAGACCCTCAGGACTCTTGGCCTCCCCAGGGAGACCTCCACTAGCCTCCAGCCTCATTCACTGGCCTACAGGATAGCAGCCAGGGCCCTGGCAGGGCACATGCCCTTCTGACAAGCCAAAGCTTTGGACTCCCTTCCCAGCAGGCACAGCTTAAACTAGGCCCAGTCCTGGAGATTCATCACTAAGCATGTCCAAATCTACAAGGAGCAATGCCAGCCCTCTGGAGTCTAAAGAAAAGACCACCTTCTCCTCCCTGCTTCTCCCTCCCCAATCCCAGGTGAGGCTGGGAGGGCCTAGCCAGCCCAGGGCCAGAGAGAGGAAACACCTGCTGAGCCCCGCCTGGCTGGAGCTGAGGAAGGGGGCACCCGGGATATGTGGCTATCTACACTGACAGCGGAGGACCCCTCAAGCTGTCCACTCCCTTGCTAGGCCAAGAGTGGCCTGGATGACCTCTGAGAGCACATGGCTGCCAGCTCTGACCAGCTCTGACCAGCTCTGACCATGGGGGAAGCTGAGGCCACTCTGGCCTGGGCCCGAGGCCTGCTCACCATCCCCTGCCTACCCAAGGTGGTCGGGACCCAAAGGAATGAATGCAGTTTCCCATGAACCATCTGCCCAAGTCCTGCTAATGGAATGCATCAGTAAAAATCCAGAAGGCCCTCTGGGGCCCCCACGCACACACGTGCACCCAGGCACAGGTGCCACGGGCCACACCAAGCTGCCCTCTCTGCCCCTCACGAGCCTCCCTGGGGCCCTGAAGGCCAGCCAGAGGGGAGCAGCAGCCCTGCCCAGCGCCAGCAAGTCCCAGAAGACCCTGCCCTCGCCTGGCTGCATCATCATCTCACCTGCCTCTGCCTCTGCCTCCCAACATGGCCACCGAGCCCCACCCTGGACAGAAACAAGCCTGGGGCCACAGAGGGAAGAGAAGGGGAAGGAGATTGTACCTGAGCCTAGTGTCCGTCCAACGGAGTCAAAGGTAAGAGCCCCTGAATCTGCAACACAAGAGGACAAGTTCATGGCTTTTGCCTTCTTGGGTGGGCTTCTCAGCTACCCAGCCACCACCACCCCCACCACCCCGAGAGCACAGAGTGCCGCCTGGCACCAGCCTCAGAGCAGGTACCCAGGTCCAGAGCACATCTTCCAGGTCAAGTACAAAGCCATCTGGAGCCCTAGGCAGACCACCTGACCTTTGTCTGGGGCACTGTTGTAAGCTCAGTTGTCCAGCAGACAGGGGCTACCCAGGACTCAGGAGGAAGCTGTCAACATTTCCTATAGGATAACCGTGATGGCTCTAGGAAAGAAACAGTCAGAGGGCTCCCCACATGCCCACTCCCACCCAGGCCCCTCTCTCCCCAGAGATGGACAGCAGACTCTACTTGCCCAAACACTCAGCAGCCAATCCCTTATGCCCTGTGGTTATGTATCTCAGATTTCTGGATCTAGACTGCAAGATCCCTGAGGACAGGAACCATGGCTACTCCCCAACGACCTAGCTCAGCAACAGATGTGCACACAAGGGAAGGGGAAGGACACAAGTCATTAATGATGGTGATTAGACCAACAAGGACATCCAGGCTGCCCCCACTCTCACCTCAGGCAAGGAGTCCGTCTACCACAACCCATGAAGTCAGCTAATTTGTGCTTTGATCCCTCAAGTGAAAAAGATCTCACTAACTTCCAAGGCTCTCCTCACCCAAAGCACTTGCTGGATAGTGCCAACTATTAGAAAGCTTTCCTTCTATTAAGCAGAAATGTCCAAAGTTTCAGCCAGAGGGCCCAGGTCTGTCCAGAACAAATCTGACACCCCCTCCACATGGCAAGGGAAGGGGGGAAAGTACTGATTAAGCACCCACTATGTGCCAGGGGTTCGGCTGGGTACTAGCCAAGTCAACCAGCATTTATCAAGCACCCACTACGTGCCAGACGGTCCTGCTCTCGAGGAGCTCCATGGGGCAGATGATATGCAGACCGCTCTGGACAAACACGCCGGAGGCAAGAGAATCAACAGAGCCTAGCTTTACAGTAGATCAGGAAAGGCTTCTTGGAGAACTCCAAGTAACCCAGGAGGCAGAGATGAGGTAGGAGAACATTCCAGGAATGGGGGCCAGCCAGTGACAATGCCCAGAGTCCAGAGATGGAGGGTCCTGTTCAAGGAATAGTCAGGAGGCCAGCGTCCCAGTGTTACTAGACTGAAGAGTATGCATGGATGGAGAGGAGGAGAGGTAAGAAGACTGAAAAGATCCAGAAGGCAAGTTATGAAGGACCTGAAATGCCAAACAGAGGATTTTAAATTTGATCCTGAAGGTAACAGGGAGCCACTGAAGTTTACTGAGTGTTGGGGGGGGTGACGTGGTCAGATCTGTGGGTTAGGAAGATCACTCTGAGAGCCAAGAGGAGGAGGGACTGGGCTGGGGAGAGACTGGGCTGGGGAGAGACTTAGTGAAAAGAAACCAATCAGCCGTGTCCTGGAACCATCCAGGCATGAAGAGAGAAGGGCCTGCACCAGAGGGTGGCAATGTCAAAGGAGAAATGGCAGGGAATCTAAGAGATAATGAGAAGGTAGAAGTGATAGACCTTGGCAACAGATTAGATATGGGAAGAGATCAGTCAAGAATGATACCTAGGTTGTGGGCCTGAGAAACTGGGAGGATGGTGATACCCTCCACAGTAATAAGGAAGTTGAGAAGAAGGGAGGGTTCAGGGGAGGAACAGAATGAGTTCAGTTTTGGACACATTGAGTTTAAAATGTCTACAGGACATCTAGTTCGAGATGTCCAACAGGCAGATGGAGATGCAGGTCTGGAGGCCAGCAGAGAGGTTAGGGCTAGAGAAGCAGATTTGAGAATCATCAGCATAGAGATGGTCACTGAATCCACGAGAGATGATGAGATCACCCAGTGAAATCGTATACAGGAAGAAGAGAAGATGGTCCAGGACAGGGCCTTGGGGCACACTCACAGCCGGTGGCTAGGGCCCAGATGAAGATCTAACAAAGGAGACAAGAAAAGGAGAACCAGGAGAGAGAAGGGTCACAAAAACCTAGAAAGAAGAGTGTATCCAGAATAAGAAGTGGTCAACAGTGTCAAAGGTGGCAGAGAGGTCAAGAAGGAATGAGGACTGGGAAAAGGCCATTAGAATTGGCGATGAAGAGCTAACTAGTAATTTGGGGGGGGGGGGGGGGGATTGGGCTGAATGATGTCAGACTGCCCACCAGCAGCCAGACTGCAGAGTTAGGAAGAGAATAAGAAGAAAGTGGAGGAGGGCCTTCTTGAGGAGCTGACCAAGAATGGGAATGCAGAACTCCTCATTATAAGCCCCTGGAGGGCAGGAACAGGTTTGCTTTGGTTTGGTCTGTAATTTATGTCCAGCAATTAACTCAGTGCCCTGCACATGCAGAAAGTACTTAACTGATACCAGTTACATGAATAAATAAAAGAAAGAAGGAAGGAAAGAAGAGAAAAGCATCTCTCTGTCTCTCCTTTGTCCTACACCATCACCGCTATCTATGAGATGAGTCTTTGTCTATTCACCAGGCCCCACACCCCCCTCCTTCCTTGTCAGCTTAAAGCCCTTTGGATTAGATTTGCAAGACTTTGGGGATCTGCATTTTTCCAGGTGTACTCCATCCCTGACCAGGGGTCTGTCACACCTATATTTTAAGCTACGAGATGAAAACTATAGACTGTAGCTCTATGAACGTAGGAGTTGTTTTTGTTTTTGTTTTGTATTCTGAACATCTAACACAGAGTCGGGTGCTTGCACTGTGTAGGAGCTTCCTAAATGACTGCTGGATTGGATTGAAATCAATTCTACTCTCCACCAACATGGTCTTAACGAGTTAGCTATTTCCCATAGTGCCACGCCCTCCTCCTCTCATCATAAAACCAAAGATCGTATTCGTCTGGAGGGGCTGCTCTATCAAGCTCTTTACTCCTACTGACCTTGTAGTTCACCGGGACAAAACTCAGGGGTTTTCCAGAGAATGTCTATCTAGTCACATCACCCTATCCTATCCCACTGAAGTTGATTGTTTGAACCCAAGTGTAAGCCTTGAAATATATCCCCAGTAAATTTCATCTTATTCAGTCCAGCCCAATGTCAAGATCTTTTTTGGATTCTGACTCTGTCATCCTGGGGTTAACATTCCATTCCAGCTTTTTGGATACTATTTATTTAATATGAAAAACTAATGAGGCTCCAGCACCACCATGTTCCAACAGCCACAACGCAGTTCCTTTCTTTAAAGGGGAGATTATGTTTTAAATATACACACAATATAAAAGCAGGAAGCACTTGTTTAACAGAGTGTTTCTGGACCCAAGTAGCCAGAGCTGAGCAGGTGTTGGGTGCCCCCCTCCTTCTAGTCCAGAGAGAACTGAGTGCTCAGGTTACACTGCTGAACAACAATGGCTAAAAGAATGGCTTACTTCCAAAGCCACAGACCCTGCTGCCCAGGCACAAGAGCTAAAAGAAAACTGAATCAAGAGCAAAAGGAGTCATTCTCCCCAGACATGGCATGGGAGAGAACAAAGACAGGAGGAAGGACCAGCTGGTCTAGACCAGGCAGACACAGAGGACAGGTGGGCTGAAAGAGAAGATGTCCAAGCAAAGACTCTGGGCTCTCACTGATCCAAGTGATGTCCTCCCCAAAGCTCACCACCGGGGTGCGCATCCACTCTCGTTCCTCTTTACCCTGAAAGGGCGTCGGGGAACACTTGGCAGCATGCATTTTGCATAGTGTTTTAAGGTTTGTATCATCTCATTTGATCTCCATAACAGCCCTGTGAGGTCGACACTATTCTATCCCCAATATACAGAAGAAAAAACTGAGCTTCAGAGAAGCAAAGTGACTTGCCCAGGGTCACGCAGTTAGCGAGGTCTGGGTCTGCATTTAAATTCAGGTTTTCCTGGCTCCAAGGACAGTCCTTTCTCCACTGTACCACCCAGCTGCCTCCTTGGGCTGTCCTGTTATCCCCGGTCCTTGCCATATGACCAGCCCATCACCTGCTCTCAGCATGTATTCTCTTGATGACAATCGTGACTCCTGTACTTCTTCCAGGTTCCCCATCGGTCATATGGCAGAGGCTATTGACACCTACAATGCACCTCTCCATTCTGATTACAATTATACATATTTATCATCTCGTATAACAGAGAGGCAGTATAGAGTAAAACCAGTTTAAAGCAACCTTGACATGAGATCCCAAGAAGCAAAGTCATCTCAAGGACATTCAAGGTTGGAAATTGAAGGAATAAAAACAGGAAAAAAAAATAAAAAAGATCTGCAAAGATTATTATAACCAACTTTATCAAGGACAGTGGAACCATTAGTCCGTCAGCTCGTCCATTAGACTGCGCACTCCTTGAGCGCAAGGGCTGGTCTTTGACTCTTTTTGTGTCCCCAGCACTTAGCCCGACAAGAGCAGCCGGTTAATAAATATTGATTGATTGGTTGGTTGGAACCACAGAAAAAGACATTTGGCCCCGATATCACAGGCCCCAGGGTGTTTACAAAGGAAAGTAGAAATGACATGAAGAAAAGTAACCAATTAGACCAAATACACTTAGAGGAGATCCATGCTGGAGTTAATGCAATTGTGAGCATGCTAAGATACTGATACATACTGTATCTGAAGGAGAGGAAAACACCAATGGTGAAGGAAAGATTTTGGCCCTTACTCATACAAAAACATATCAACACCTACCCACATATATAACAACTCTCCTATTTTTTTTTTCAAAACACCAAACATTTGGAAAAAATCATTTATATTATTACTACCCCCAAAAATGTACCTGTGAAAAAGTCTGTAACCACTGATCTTCTCTTTTTTAAAGTTCAGTTCAATTTAACAAACAACTGCTGAGCACCTATATGTGCCAGGCATAGGACACAAAGACAACAGCAGAATATGTCCTTCAGACACAATACAACAAAATTACAGGGAAGCTGGAAGAAAGAGCACTCAAAGTAATAAGAGGGAAGCCCACC